TTGCTGAGAGGACTTGGAGCGCTAATCAGTATGAAGCAAGAGACCAGCAACACCACTAACTGGTGTACGACAAGGTCCGCTACTCATCACACCATGGTCCCTCTAGTGTTTATGTGTGTTGGAAACGGGGAGCACGGTTTAGCTGTGGTAAACAATAGTGTGGCAAACATTAAAACGGGACGCCGGTTGGCAAAGAAGATGGCGTGCATTGGCGTTAGAGATACAATTGCAGTTTTAGTGCCCTAGTTATTGTCACCGCTAAATTCACAACAAAAGTTTACACCGTAGAACTTTGAATTAGATTATGAAGGCTGGAGAGGGCTACTTTTACTCTTACCTTAGAGCTTACCTTAGGGCACAGTTTATATTTTATCAGATGTTGTAGCCTATTCCAGCTGAAGCTGCATGATTTTGCTGAATGAAAAGTACCCACTAGGCTTTCCTTTTCTGTATTTCCATAACTACTGACTTACATAATACAGTTTGCATATAATTTTATATTTGCAATCTCAATTATACAGACATTTATCTAAAGTGCAAATCACAATTATCGTGTAAACGAAGCATATGACAAACAACAATTAGTACATCTCCATTGTTTAGTAACAAGCTATTATTCTATGACAAACATCTCCACTGTAATACCGACTTTATTTATAACTTGATTCCATATATTTATGCAAGCAGTATAGTTGCCTTTTATGAATACAACACAAAGTTATGATGCTTTTCATAAGACTCGTTTGTCCTCTCCACATGCACTAACATTAGTTTCCAGATTTCTGTATCCAGTACTCTGCTAAGGAATGCTGTGTAAGAAAGTGATTCGAAGTGACTCAGACATGAAGCCTGTCTTTAACTGTATTCACGAGTGCAGACCAACTGAGTATATTCTTCCATTATCGTAACAACCACGCAAGCTGTGGTGGTGATGGTGGTGGTGGGGGAGTAATGATAGGTGTGTGTGTGGGAGAGATTAGGAAGGGGGGGGGTTTGGGAGAGGGGGAAGTGGAATGGGTGGGTTTAAGGAAAGCGTTGGTTGGTGAATGGAAGCGGCTATTGAGTAAATAGGTAACGGAAAGGCAAGTGGAAGGGGTAAATAGGTGGCATGGGCTGGCGGGTGTGTGTGGGGAAGGGTGTTGGGAGCGTGGGAGGGGGGGGGGGGGACTCCAGGTGTGGATTTAACAATCTAGCAAGGAAGTTACTGGCGCCTGAACCCCGTGCCGGAAGTCGACTCTCCTGATTACACAACATTAATTTAACTTCTTCCTAGTCCGCTGCTTCCCAACTGCCTCCCCCGGAGGAGGGCAGTCACTCCCACCCCTCCACCAGATGATGGAGGAGGGCAGTCACTCCCACCCCTCCACCAGATGATGAAGGAGGGCAGTCACTCCCACCCCTCCACCAGATGATGGAGGAGGGCAGTCACTCCCACCCCTCCACTAGATGATGGAGGAGGGCAGTCACTCCCACCCCTCCACCAGATGATGGAGGAGGGCAGTCACTCCCACCCCTCCACCAGATGATGGAGGAGGGCAGTCACTCCCACCCCTCCACCAGATGATGGAGGAGGGCAGTCACTCCCACCCCTCCACCAGATGATGAAGGAGGGCAGTCACTCCCACCCCTCCACCAGATGATGGAGGAGGGCAGTCACTCCCACCCCTCCACCAGATGATGGAGGAGGGCAGTCACTCCCACCCCTCCACCAGATGATGGAGGAGGGCAGTCACTCCCACCCCTCCACCAGATGATGGAGGAGGGCAGTCACTCCCACCCCTCCACCACATGATGGAGGAGGGCAGTCACTCCCACCCCTCCACCACATGATGGAGGGGTGGGAGTGTAAACTACTACAATAAACTACCACTTACAGGATGAGTATGGGGTGCACAATAAACTACTACTCACAGGATGAGTATGGGGTGCACAATAAACTACTACTCACAGGATGAGTATGGGGTGCACAATAAACTGATTGATTGATTGATGAAGATTAAGGCACCCAAAAGGTGGCACGGCATGAATAGCCCGTAAGTGGTGGCCCTTTTGAGCCATTACCAGTATCAAGAGCTGATACTGGAGATCTGTGGAGGTGCGACTGCACCCTGCGTGACGGGAGATGTCTCCCGTCTGGACCAAATGGTTGTTGTTGTTGTTATTTTAGATTCAGCAACTCAGAACAATAAGTTCTAGTAGCACGGGCTATGGTGAGCCCGTAAATGGAGGCTCTTTGGAGCCATTATCTGTATCAGTGGCTGATACTAGAGATGTGGCGATGGATGGGGGTCTTCATGATGGTTTTCAGGCTGGAGGGCTGGCTATACCAGTTATGGAGCTGGTGGGGTTAGTGTAGACCTCTAGGTTTTCCGTTTTTTCTTTGCCTGCGACTTTGGCTGAGCAGTGCTGTCGTTGGAGTTAGGTGACATGGCCTCCTGAGGATGTCTTGGACCGTGTAGGTGTCGTGAATCGCTATCGCACAATAAACAATGTGTCACTGGTAGTAAGAATAAAAGCAAAATCGAGCAGTGAGCGAGCACTGTGCCTGTCACCTCGGGGGATAGGCCGACTGAGGCTTCCTGGAGAGAATGAGGATCAGTTCACAAGGAGGCGTTTAAGTCCCCTTGGCACATATGAACAATAAATAAATGCTGGACCATAAACAAACGAGTTCATGCATTTGTTATATAAATATAAACGATCACTGAATTAATTTGTCCTAACGTGGTTTCTTTAGTACATCAACGAGGAAAATTTTGATTGTACACACACACATATATATATATATATATATATATATATATATATATATATATATATATATATATATATATATATATATATATATATATATATATATTTCGTAGGTATCACAATATCCAGAGTCAGTATGAGTACAAGAATAAGGCATGTCAACACTAGCTCCCTCAGTGTGTATGGCACCAACTGCTCTCACAACTATAATATACAAATATATAACTTATAATAGGATTTAACAAGGTAATCTTACTGTAATGAGCGTTCGGGATATTGCTGGCTTCAGATAGGCGCGGACACGGTTATTGCAAGAAGCATGAACGGCGGTGGGGCGCTCCTCCGTTACTGACAGCTACAGAGGTTCGGGACTCTTGTGTTGTCTCCCGTTCTCTACGCTTCCTCCTCTCTCTTCCCGTCACCTCCACCTGTCTCACATGATAGATTGCATTAGGTTATTTTACGTTTGGTTAGGTTAGACAAGGGCATGTTACATATTGTAAAGATAGGTTAGATTATAATGCATTACATAAGGTTAGGTTAGGTTAGGATTTGTTTTACCGTTAGAAAATGACGGTTAGGTGTTGTATGGCTAGGTTAGATTATAATAGAGCGCTTTAGGTTAGGATAAGTTTGGTTAGAAGAAGTCAGGTTAGATGTTGTATGGCTAGGTTACATTATCAAGTTCAAGTATGTTTATTAAGACAAGAAAAAAAATACATCTCAAAGGGATAGAGTAGCTTAGGCTACTTGTACCCCCTCTACTTCAAAGTCCCTAAAGAGGCGCACGAATTCAGTGAGTTCAAATACACAAATCACAATACAAGAATCCTATTTAACATTGCAGGTTAATATAGTAAGCACAGCATATAAGTGTTACACTCTTGGGGCAAAATTCTTGTAGTTCCTAAGTATAATGTCTATCATACCATTATCACACATCCAAACAATTTGGTGTAGTACACTGCTTACTTTCTCATTTCTATAGTTATCAATAAGTTGACACTAATACATAATGTTCTAAGGTGTGGGCGTGCGGCATACTACATAATTTACTCTTATCTTTATCACCGACATCAACACTGTATTGCCAGATATATTTGTATCCTAATCTTAATCTCATGTAAATTGAGGTTACATTTGATAAGGTAACGTTAGGTTGTCAGTTCTGTTCCCAGTAGTAAACATTCCTTTACAGCTGGTAGCGCTGCTGGGACAGCTGGCACAGCTGGCAGCGCTGCTGGGACAGCTGGCAGCGCTGCTGGGACAGCTGGCAGCGCTGCTGGGAATGTCACTATCTCTCCAACGCTGCTTTCACAGTAACAGTGATTTCTAGTTATTTTCATTCACACTGTATAGATCACAATATATTATTGGATTAAAATATCACCCATCCTTCAAGGGTCTATTCAAATATCACAACTTTTCTTTGGGTCTATCCAAACAGCACAACTTCTCCGTGGAACCGTCCAACACTACAAGGGGCAGGTAGACATCTTTCTTAAATGTGTTAATTTTTGTTTTCCAGCCAGAAAGAACATTATTATTCATCATGCTGCAGTATTTTTCTCTAACCGCCGAGTTGTGCTTTGACAATCAATCGAGCTAAAGGAAAAATAAAAAAAAAATCCACAGGTCAAATGAAAAAATCTTAATTTTAATTTTATTTATGGTAATCACATTACAACATTTGTTTTAAAAATTAATTTATCGGCGGGCGCATAATCTTTAATTCTTCAGGGGTTTCCAAGTTCAGGGATGTAGTAGGCCCAATGATGTCGGGGCGAGTGATCATCAAGCCGCTGCCCCACACTTTAATATATGTCCAGGCAATCCTACAGTCCTGTGTGGGATGACTCGCTGTCGATGCTGTTGCAGTTGTCGCTACCGGTCGTGACCCGACCGCGCTAGTCGACGTCGACGTCGTCGTCGTGGAAGTCTTCGTGACCATCACAGTGGAGGCCGGCACCGCCCTAGCTTCGCTCTTCCTGGCAGTTTCAGTCGTCGTTTTCGTCGTCAACGCCGCTGGAGTCTCTTCCACAGGCGTCGCGGAGTCAGCAAAGCCGTTAGCGCCAAAGCCGGTGACTCTACACACAGCCAATGACGAGGCTTGCGGCAGGCCGGTGTTTGGACACTACAGTCGACTCAGGGGAAGTCACAGGGGGGGGGGGGTGTTCGGGGTCCTGCAACGGTCAGTGTAACTTCTGCGGGGGCAGTAGGAGGCACCACAGTAGCGCCGCTCAGTTTCAAAATCTGCCACTTCCTGAAGTGTTGTCCTTGTTTTGCATGATGATCGTGGGGCCAAAGAATACGTACACCCCGCCATTCACCTGAATGTTCAAACCATCCCCTCGCCGATTCTGCAAAGAAAAGAAAAAATGACAATATTTATATTTATTTTGTCACAAGAAACCAAACACACACACACACACACACACACACACACACACACACACACACACACACACACACCACACCCCGTACCTTGTCAAACACGAGGCGAAGCTTGAAAAAGTTCAGATATATACCACTAGGCTAGTCCCAGAACTAAGAGGCGTGAGTTACGAAGAAGGGCTGCGAGAAATGCACCTCACGACACTAGAAGACAGAAGAGTAAGGGGAGACATGATCACTACCTACAAAATTCTCAGAGGAATTGACAGGGTAGATAAAGATAAACTGTTTAACACGGGTGGTACGCGAACAAGGGGACACAGGTGGAAACTGAGTACCCACATGAGCCACAGGGACGTTAAAAAGAACTTTTTCAGTGTGAGAGTAGTTAACGGATGGAATGTTTAACAAGGTTAAGAGGTACCTGAGATGCGTCTGAATCTGGCGTGACTCGTGATGAGCCGGGGGCTGGTGATGAGCCGGGGGCTGGTGATGAGCCGGAGGCTGGTGATGAGCCGGGGGCTGGTGATGAGCCGGGGGCTGGTGATGAGTTGGCGTTGGACGGGTCGGGATGGGACTCGCCAGACATAACCAGCTGCAAGGCTTGGCCATACGGCTGCAAGGCTTGGGGAAACTGCTGCAAGGCTTGGGGAAGCTGCTGCAAGGCTTGGGAAAGCTGCTGCAAGGCTTGGGGAAACTGCTGCAAGGCTTGGGGAAGCTGCTGCAAGGCTTGGGGAAGCTGCTGCAAGGCTTGGCCATACGGCTGCAAGGCTTGGGGAAGCTGCTGCAAGGCTTGGCCATACGGCTGCAAGGCTTGGGGAAGCTGCTGCAAGGCTTGGGGAAGCTGCTGCAAGGCTTGGGGAAGCTGCTGCAAGGCTTGGCGAAGTTGTTGCGAGGCTTGGGGAAGGTGCTGCGATGCTTTGGGAAGCTGCTGCGAGGCTTTGGGAAGCTGCTGCGAGGCTTTGGGAAGCTGCTGCGAGGCTTGGCTATGCTGTTGCGAGGCTTGGGGAAGCTGCTGCGAGGCTTGGGGAAGCTGCTGCGAGGCTTTGGGAAGCTGCTGCGAGGCTTGGGGAAGCTGCTGCGAGGTTTGGGGAAGCTGCTGCGAGGCTCGGGGAAGCTGCTGCGAGGCTTTGGGAAGCTGCTGCGAGGCT